ACATGTTTGCCAATATTTTTCTCTGCACCCTCCCAGCTGATTTGACAAGCAGTGTGCTGCCCCTTCTGTTACAAAAGCACCATTGACTACAGTGACCACAGGTATTCCAGACTTCCCTTTTTTTTCCCCTATTGTGCAAACGCTGGCACTTCCAACAGCACAGCGCCCTCTAGCACCTTGCTGGGGTATTGGTTCATGACTGACTCAGGGCTTGTCTATTCTGGGATCTTACTCACTAGGGTCTTACCTTGGTTTAAAACTGTGGCAAGCGGCACTGGTACAAGTAACTTAGTGCATCTACAGTAGGGACTTGCATTGGTGCAGTTACGCTGCAAAGCAGGAAGGTCCTGAGAAGGAAGGATACCAAATATCCTACATGCAGCCCCCTGTGCTTTCCTTGGAGGTCTCAAAGTCCTGTCCAAGTATTGACAAGGCCCAACATTTTCACTTCATAATTAGAAAATGGAAGAGCAGGTGATCTTTCAAAGGGGCATTGCTGTCCCTGATACATGGTTAAATCAGATCAGTTGCTTGTGAATTCTCAGGCTGACCCCTGGCATTCTCACGCAACATGAAATAGTGTATTGCTGCCCTCCTGCACGTACAGCTGTGACATTCACGTCTTCATCAGAAAGGTTCCTTGCTTCTCCGTTCCCCTCTTGCCATGCTGCTGTGTGGGACACCTTGCATCAAAAGCAAACTAAACGGCAGGCGAGGCTCTTCACGAGTTTCCAGTATCTCAGTCAGAGCTTTCCCCGCAGTATGAGATGCTTTGTGTAGCTGGGCCCTGATTCTCGGGTGCACTGGGGACAGATTTGCTTTGCCAGAAAAAAGCTGCCCTAAAGCCCGGTGAAAATCCCCTCACTTCTACTTCCTGCAAGTGCGTGTGTGTTAAAGGTCCCCGTGCTGGAGTGTTTTGGCTCTTCAGCTGCTATAGCTTGAGCTAATGCTTTTAGCCCTGGTTCAGTCCTAGGTGCGTGGGTCAAATAGAGCGTCTGTCACACAAGCAGCACGGGGGAGCAAGACTACGAGCGGCGGAAGTGCCCTAAAAGTGTGTGGGGGGGACCACAGGCGCCTGAACTGTGGTGCCGCCCCCAAGGCCCTGCCCCTTCTCCCCCGCCCTCGTGACACCCATTCCCTAGAAGCCCCATCCTCAAACTACTTCTCCCTGAGCCTCAGTCCTCTCACTGCCCCTTCCCCAGAGGCCCTGCTCCCATTCTGCCTCTTCCCCCCTCCCTGCTCGCTTCTCTCCACCCCTCCCTCTGTCGCTCGTCCTTATGGCCAGTAAAATGTGAGGGGCCTGGCCCCTTGGCCCCCCATTCCAGTGCTCTGATCATGACCAAGTATTCCAAGCCATTGCAACCGCTATTGGCAGCTAGCATGAGTTTGGCCTGCTTTAACTCGCACCCCATGAGCACTGGGCCAACTGCAGCTCAAAGCCTTTTGCATTGCCACCCACGCTGTGCCAAGTGCTGCTTTGCTAGACGCCACGAACCAGCCCTTTGTGTGACTTGGCATTTCAGATCCTGTGTGTCACAGCCTGCTTGCCTTACTCCTGCAAAAACCCCGCTGAAGTCAGTGTTTGCTTGCAGATACCAACTGGTTTACTCAAGTGAGTCATGGCTGCAGGATCAAACCTTTCTAGCTAGATGAGTTATTTACATAGCACCAAAGTGCCTACAATGTCCCTACCCTGAATTTAAAGAGAAACTCCAGGGAAATAAGATTTTTGTATTCAGAGACAGAATGGAGACAGATGTATTGTCTAGATGAAAACAAAATTCATTATGAAATTAATACTCTGGCTCTAAATAATAGTCCATTGTTGCCACCCTATTCTTATGTCACAAAGCAAAATCAGATCAGTGTAAAACATTACACATGTCTTACATAGCTGCAGCCTGCTCCAACTGCCAAGTAATTCCACAAAAGAGATTTACCACTGATTTGCTAATGGAGTCCTGGCCTATAAAGCATGCGTACAGCAAATAGCATGCAATGCACCTACCACAGGCTTGTTTAGACCACAGGCTAAATAACCGTGTTCTTGCTTTTATATTCCTTGTAGGAGAAGAATTAACTTGTGCTCACTCTGGCGTTTGATTGGCCTATCCGAAAATGTTTCTTCTTTTATCAGCTTTTGATGTAATTCTCTGTTTTTTGGATACTTCCATTGTTAGACTCATTTTAAAAATTCTTTGCCTTCCTGGTGGGGAAACACTCATCTCTGGAGCCTTTACAACCTGGTACCATGTATTGCTCCCTCCTAGCTTCAGCTTATCTCACTGTGTCATTAAGGAATGCAGGCCTCATCCTTAACATTCCAGCTCAGACAGTCAGAGACTTTGACTCAGATCAAGGGAGAGGCAGAGGTGGGATCTGTTTTAGATTTCAAAACCCAACCACATACACAGTCTGTGGAAAATGGCCTGATCAAAACCCATGCCCAAACTGAGATCCTGGCCATTCCCTTTGCCTTGTCGCTGGAAGCCTTGGGTAGAGTTGGAGAGAGGAGAAAATAAGTCCGTTAAAGAAACAGCGGAGGCTGGTGATGTGTGAAAGTAGGTGGATGAAACTGACGCACAGCGGAGTTTACAGCAGATTGGAATGTGTTTGTCTGATTCAAAATAGGGTGATGGCAACACTACCTACCCATAGGACCTGTCATCAGTATGACTGTAGCTATTTATTACTGGTCAGATCAGGTCTCCAGTGTGCTAAGCACTGTACTAACCTGTGGGGAGGCACAGTCTGTTCCCTGGAGAGCTGACCATCCAAAATGTAGACAACGGCTGGGGAGAATACTGAGGAAGAACAAAGGCAAAGTCTGATCCTGCAAGAGATCACTGGAATAAATTGCCTAGGGAGGTTGTGGAATCTCCATATCTGGAGATATTTAAGAGTAGGTTAGATAAATGTCTATCAGGGATGGTCTAGACAGTATTTGGTCCTGCCATGCGGGCAGGGGACTGGACTCGATGACCTCTCGAGGTCCCTTCCAGTCCTAGAATCTATGAATCTATAAGAGCACTCAGCACCTTACAGAACATGCTCAGTGTCTTTCTGAATTGGGCCCTGACACTGGCAGGAGTTGCGAGTGCTCAGCGTTTTTCAAGAGCAGGCCCGCAAAGGGCAAGATTAAGGGTTGTTTTCCACTCTGGTTGAACTGAATGGCCCCGTTGTTAGTTACCGTGCTGTCTTCTCAACTCTCCAAAGGCTGCCTGGTTTAACTCCTGGGGTGAAATCAGTGGGGCTGACTGAGTGAAAAGTGAGGGCAGAGTTTGGCTCAGAGTTTAGTTGGGCAGCCTTTTAAGAGTGTGAAGTGATTAGTCCATTTTCTCATGAAGATACATTGCCCATAAATACCAATCTCCCAGTAGCAAATGCTCCAGCAGTACTTCCTGGCTCAAGGCAAAGCGAGTGCATCTCCCTCTCTCTAGGCTGTCTGGAGATGAGGGACGTCCAAAGAAAAGTAGCATTTAATGCTTTGAGGATGGAGTTTTCATAAACTCTAAGCACTGGTCTAACTCAGCTCCCATAATGAGCGCTTTGGCTAATCCCGCTTTAAGTGGTAATTCAATCAATTAACGGGGGCAGGTACAAAACAGCTGAAGCCACGGACAGTATCCGACCGTGTCGTTAGCAGGAGCCCAGGCTACACAGTCAGTCCCTCAGAACTGAGGGCAAGTCTACATGAAGATGTAGCTTTCCCATCAGCGTCGTTAATCCACCTCCCCGAGAGGCAGTAGCTACGTCGACGCTCTCCCATCAACATAGCACTATCTACACGGGGCGTTAGGTTGGTATAACAACGTTGCTTGGGGGTGTGGATTTTTCACACCCCTGAGCGACAGTTATACTGATATGGGGTTGTGGGGTAGACCAGACCTCAGTGGGGCTGCTTGTGTGGGTGAGGCAGCAGGATCAGGCAATAGGTCGGCAAACCCTTTGCCTTGTCTTAGAACTGAGCCAACTGACTCCATAGCCTACAAGGGAACAATCTGTACATCTCCTGGGAACCACAATGGCTTCCAGTAGTCCTCTTAAGAGACCGTATCTTGTTTCTCTGGATGTTCTGCTAATTTTCAAGTCCCTCCCCCCCACTCAGATAGTGAATGACATGGCCCGAGATAAGTCTTGTGTGCACATACTGTCAGGGTCTGTAGGAAAAGCAGTGCATGGATTAAAGTCTTGTCATTGGGCTGTGCAGGTCTGCCATGCACAGATGTGTTACTCTCCTGGGAGAGCAAAGGCTCCAAAGAGAACACAAACCACATTTTGATGATTATTTGGCTTGCAGTAGCACCTAGGGGTCTTGGGCTTTTGTTTACGCTTTCACTTTGGTGCAGTCCCTATTGACTCCTGTCCCTGCTGTCTGTGCTCTTTCCTATAAGATCTTCATCTCCCTCCTCCTCCTAATGATTATTTGCATTACAATAGTGCCCAGAGGCCCCGCCTGAGATCAGGGCCCCAGTGTGCCAGGCACTGTACAAACATATAGTCCTGTAGCTCACAAGCGAGGTAGATGAGACAGACAAAAGTTGAGGGAGGAAACCCAGGGGAAGCGACTTGCCCCAGTTCTAAGGGCAGAGCTGGGAGTCGCGACTAGAGCCCACGGCGGCTTTATAATTAAAGAACCATGCCTCCTAAGTCTCCAGTCTGATGAACATGGGTTACGCCCTTCTCTGGCCTGTGTGGGGGGAACACCCTGTTCCTCAGACCTCCGGAGATGGTACTTGAGGTGAGAACTTTGGTTTCGACATTCACTCGGGGCCTCCTTCCAGGTAAGGCTGCTCTTAAAAGCCACTTGCCTGGTGTGGCTGTTTCCAGGGTTTGCACTTTGAGTCTCCAGGCGCCTTTGGAGAAATGTAAGCGGGCGGGGGCGACTTTATCTGCTGCTTGAGAAATCTCAGGGCTGGTGTCAGCAGACAAGCGTCAGCATCGGCCCTTCTTCACCTTGACCCTTTAGTGAAGAGACGTAACAACACCCCCCACCCCAGTGTGGGTGGACAAAGAGGAGCTGAGTATAGAAATTGTTCTCCCTCCTCCTTCCCTCCACCCCCTCAGATTTTGGGGGGAGGGACTGGTCCTGCCTGGAGAGGGGTTGTTAGGAAATCTTCCCACCACCTTGCTGGTAAGGGTGAGGGAGCTGGGTGTGTGGAGAGGGGAGGAGAGTGGGCCTATCCCCTCCCCCGCCCTCCTGGGGAGGGTGGGGAAGCTGGCATGTGGGGGAGTGAGGCTAGGCCAGATCTCTCCCCTAGCTGCGGGAAGAGGAGAACGGACACAGTCACTCCAGTGTATAAAGCAAGCACCAGGCAATCAGAGCAGCGCAGACCCCAGCAGGAGGCCTGGACAGGTATGTACATGCTGTTAAGGCTGAGTGGGTGGGATTGGCTGTGGGCACTGACAGGTCTGGGTTTTTACAGGCCCATTTTCCACCTGTCCCCCTGGGTCTGGACTGGAGGCAGAGGACCCTGAGGCTGTTCTCTCTTGGGCCGAGGGCGGAGCAGGCTCTTGCAAGGCCTCAGATATGGGGAGCATAAAGGGGACATAAAGACCCCATTTCCCCTGTGCCTCTCGCAGGCAGAAGGCAAGCGGGACTGGAAAATGCCAGGCCCAATGCAGGGGCTGCAGCAGCAGCAGCAAACGGTAACCATTCCTAGCAGAGCAATAAGGGGAACACAATTGAGCTCTGGGTGCCATATAGTAATGGTCTTGAATCACTCTGCCAATGAGATTTTTTTTGGCTGAGGGTTCAGCTTCAAGATGCCAGCAGAACAGAAATGATGGTCTAATGGTTAGGGCACTCGCCTGAGCCCCAAGACTCCTGGGGTCAAGTCCCTACTCTGCCACAAACTGCCTGTGTGACCTTGGGCTAGTCACTTAGGGTGAGACTTTTAAAGGTACTTGGGTGCCTAGTGAGATTCTCAAAGTTGCCTAACTCCCTCTGATTTTAAAAAAATCCAATGGGAGTTAGGCACCTAACCCGCTTACACCCTTTAGAAAATCCCACTAGGCACCTGTCTGCATTTTTAGGCACCTTCAAAAAATAGCACCTAGTCTCTCTCTGCCTCACTTCCCCATCTGTACAGTGGGGATAACAGCACTGCCCTAGCTCACCGGGGGGTTGGGACGAAAAATACAGTCAAGGCTGAGCTGCTCAGATACGGTGGCAATGAGGGGTGGGGGTAATAGGTGCCAGAGAGAGCTAGCTCCGTGTGCATTCGCAGCTGTCGCTTTGTTCAGTTCTTCCCACTTGTTCCAAGCAAAGGCTGCACGCAGGGGCAGCAGAACAGGCTGTGTTGTACACAGCCAGCACGGGGCTCTGGGGAGGCAGCAGATGGAATTTAGGGAGGGCATCTGCACTTCATGGAGCAGCCCGGCAGCTGCTGTTGTGGGGGTGAGGGGTGAAGGCTGCAGCATACTCGCACCCAGCCAGCGCTGACCTAGAGCAAGCACTACAGAGGAGAGGGATGGGGAAGGCAAATGTAACCAGAGATGCTAATGACAGGCCAGATCCTTTGGGCCGGTGCAACCCATTAGGCCCCCGCTAGCATTTGGGGGTCGGCATTTCGGGTCCTTCGGCAGTGACTGCGGCGGCCGGATCTTCGGCCTCCCCGGTCGTCGTCGGCATTTAGGTGGAGGGAGCTGGGGCAGGGGGGCGCGGGGAGGGCCGCCTGCATCAAGTAAGGGGGGGGGCGGCATGCAGGGGAACTCCCCGCCCCAGGTCACCTCTGCTCCGCCTCCTCCCCGAGCACGCTGCCCCGCTCTGCTTCTCTCCCTCCCAGGCTTGTGGCGCCAAACAGATGATTGGCGCCGCAAGCCTGGGAGGCGGGAGAAGTGGAGTGGCGGCGGCGTGCTCGGAGAGGAGGCGGAGCAGAGGTGAGCTGGGGCGGGGAGCTGCCGCACAGCTCCCCGGGCTAGGGGGAGCTGCCGCGGGGGGGGCACCTTAGGGTGGAGGGAGGGGGCGGAGAGCTGCCACAGGGCTCGGGGCGGGGGGGGCGCAAGGTGCAGGCTCCTCAGCTCCCGGCTGAACAGAGGGTGCTCCTCACTGTGGAGGGTCAGGCTCTGCAGACACACACGAGGAGAAATGCAGGGCTGGGAGCTGTATACAGTTCTGATGCGGAGTGCTCCAGGGAGGGGCAGTGGATCGAACCCACTGGTGCTGCGCCCATGGCAGTGTGAGGCATATTACGGATCATCCACCGCAAGTCCTCAGCGGGAAATCCTGGCCTTGCCTAAGGGACCCCTGACGGCTATGGCTGTTAGGAGATTTGTATGCACGCTCCTTTGTCTGGATGGGGACTGGTGAGGAGCAGGCTCCAACCAGAGCTGCACAAAAGGAGAACGAATACCCAAACCCCCTTGCCTAGGTCACAGAGTCCAGAACCAGCAGTTCAGAGGCTGGGGTTTTTCCAGGTAAAAATCTCCAGAGCTCAGGTAGGGAATGGGAGCGGAGTGCGCTAAAGCAGTGAGTGACCAAGGGAGCAGCTTCTTGCTGACAGGCCTCTTTCTGCAGGGGGAAACGGCCCTTCTTGAGTTTGGGCCATTTTGGTGCAAGGCAACAAGGACCCCTGCATACACTGTAATACCTCAATGACACTGGAAAATCCCCTGAGTCCGTGAGACTGAATCCTCTACTACCAGGAAAGTCACCTGCTGCAAAGCCCCTGCCACCACTTGGGAAAGGGCCCTTGGTGTAACTGTCAAAGAGCTAGAAGCAGATCTAGGGGAGAGTTTAAAAAGTGCCAAAGGGATTTAGAAGCACAGGTTTTCAAAAGCCCTGAAGTGGCTTAGGCAACGGCTACACTACAAAACTCTGCCAACATAGCAATGCTGATCGGGGATGCGAAGAGGGGTGAACCCTGATGTATGTATGTATGTATGTTCATATACAAATGTAGCTGTGCTGGCCAAAGCCCCAAGTGTAGACTCGGCTATACTGGCAAAAACATGCAATGCTGGTAAAAAGCTGTGTCCACACTATCCTCCTGGGGGAATTCTGCGCCACTACACACGCGCAGAATTCATGTTCCCCGCAGATTTTTTTTCTCTGCAGAAAATACATTCCGCCAGAGAGGCGCTGCAGTTACACCTTTCACCAACCAGGGAGTGCTGTGGCACTCGAACAGACAGCAGACAGCTCACTGTAGCAGCCAACTGCCAATAGGGAGGAGGAGAGGCTGTGTTCCTCATAGCACCCTGCCTGTGGAACCAGTTGAGGGGGTATGGGGAGACAAAGTGGAGCACACGGGACTGCTGGGGGAGTTACACAGACTGGGGGGTTCAGAAGGGCTAGTGGAAGGGACAGACTGGGGCAGAAGCTGAATGGAAGTGGGGGGTTCAGGGACACCAGGGGGGCAGTGAGGTACAGGTCCACATGGGAATGGGGGTAGCTGAAAGGGGGTTCAGGGCCACATGGGGATGGGGTTGGAGGGTGCAAGTGGGCAGGGCGTGACTGTGGGTGCAGGGATACATGGGGATGCATGGGGACAGGGGAGGAGGGATGACTGAGTGTGGGTGCAGGGACACGGGGGGATGGGGGAAGCGGGGTGCAGGGACACAGGGAGACGGGGCAGATGTCCATTGGAGAGATTAGGGATCAGCCAGAGTCTGCATGGGGGAGGCACCCCAACTCACTAACAATCCCTCCTCCCTCCACAAAACCTGTTCCATACTTCTCCCACCCACACCCAATGCCCTCCTGGTTCACTCCCAGGCTCCTTCCCAGCAATTATTTCTCTCTTCCTCAGCTCCTCTGTTACCCCTGACTACCCCAAGTGTTTGCACTGTGTCTAAGGGGTGCGGGAAATAAGTTTCTGTATTGTAGTTTAAATTAATTATTACCCAGAGTTCTATATTAATTTGCCTAGTAAGGAATCTATTTGTCAAAAAAACATTTCCTGAATCTTTTTTGTTGTCTGTAGGGTTACAGACATACCTGTTGACAGGTATTTTCATAGAATCATATGACTGGAAGGAACTTAAGAGGTCATCTAGTCCAGTGTCCTGCACTCACGGCAGGACTAAGTATTATCTAGACCATCTCTGACAGGTGTTTGTATAACTTGCTCTTAAAAATCTCCAATGACACAGATTCCACAACCTCCCTAGGCAATTTATTCCAGTGCTTAACTACCCTGACAGATAGGAAGTGTTTCCTAATGTCCAACCTAAATTGCCCTTGCTGCAATTTAAGCCCATTGCTTCTTGTCCTATCCTCACTCGCTAAGGAGAACAATTTTTCTCTCTCCTCCTTGTAACAACGTTTTATATACTTGAAAGTACATAATGCCTCATCTTTTATGTCTTTTGAAATAAATTACCAAAATAATTGAAACTGGAGTGATTATATTGTGTTATTTTGACAAATAAAATATGCAGAATTTTAAAATATTGTGCGCAGATAATTTTTTGGTGCAGAATTTTAATTTTTTTGGCACAGAATTCCCCCAGGAGTAACACTAGCACTCTGCCAGTACAGTATACTGGTATTGTTATACCATCAGAGCACTCCTAGTGTAGACCTTGCCAAAGGAGCCTGACTTTCAATGGAACCCAGCTGCTTTTCCCCACAAGCGCCAGTGAAAGGAGAGTCAATGGGCCTTGTGCTCCTAAATCCCCTGGGGGCTTTTGAAAATCTCCAAGATCATTCTCTTAGAACCCATAAGATTCCGACACTTGCATTCTGCAGGCCACTTCGTAGGAGCCACCTTGCCATGGGCACGCCTGACCTTCCAAGCCCTGGCTCCCCACTGCCAGTGCACCACGTCATGAGAGAACAAGCCCATGGCAAGGTGGAAAACATGATTACCATGCAATTGACTTTTGGACCTTTAGAGGCAAGCTCCTGTCTGCTCTGTATGGTGATTAAAGAGCCTATTGAACTTCACATAAGAGGAGACGTTTGCCCATTCTCTTTGACCAAAATTATCCCTTCATGCACTTGCTGTGTATGTATTGTTTTTACTACTTATTTATTTGTATTGTGGCAGCACCTAGGCATCCTGGTCACGGCCCGGGAACCCATTGTATTAGGTGCTGAACAAACACAGAACCAAAAGAGGGTCCCTGACCCAAAGAGTTTACAGCCTCAGGGTGTGTCTGCACTAGAAAGCGCTATGGCTGTAGTGTAGACACTTACTACAGCAATGCAAGGGGTTCTCCTATCGCTGGAGCAAATCCACCTCTCCAAGAGGTGGTAGCTAGGTCGATGGAAGAATTCTTCCATTGACCAAAAACTGTCAACACTAGAGACTTGGGTTGGCTTAAGTACGTAGATGGGTCAACCTAACTTTCGTGTGTAGACCAGCCCTAAGTTGGCTGCTGCTCTCCCCTCAGACCTTTAGTTCTGAGTATACAGCTAGGCAGAGATGATAATGCTGCATGTATGTTTGTACAGCGCCTAGCGCGATGGGTTCCTGGTCCGTGAGTGGGGCTCCTAGGTGCTAGAAAGATAATACAACTAATAAATAATAACAGATACAGTTTGGGACACACGTTGGTTGCCTTTGGGATGAAAGATTTTATGTACCTTTAAATATGCTCAGATGAGACTTCCTTCCCAAATGCCTGATCTTTATGGCAGTTTCATTACAGCAGAGACTCTAATTATCACCTCCACCATCTGCAAGCACCAGCAAAACATTTATTGGTGTTTTGTTTTCACATAGCTCGTGGTAGCCCCAAAGGGCTTTAATTTACTTTTCTATATTGCTGTTTTGTTTCCCCCACCCTGAAAAGCAAAAGAATGTTTTCCCTCCTGCTCGCTCTTTCTCTGCTGGCGTGGGAGGCAGCGGCCGGCCTGACAGACAGAGCAGCTCCAGCTGCGTTGGGGGATTTCACAGCTCTTTTCCAGTTGACCCAGCAAGACCCCTGGGAAAACGACGTTAATCTTACCAGCATGTCCTGTGAGGATCTGAGGAACAAGACATGGACCCACTTGCAACTGAACAACAACAGCCTGCAAGCCTTCCCTGCCTGCCTGCCTGGGGGACTGGAGGCCTTAGACCTCAGCACCAACCAGTTGCCTGCGCTCAGTGGCGTGGAGATAGCGAACTTCCCAAAGCTGCGCACCCTCTGCTTGAGGCACAACCACATCCAAGAAGTTGCGTGGGGAACCGGAGCCCTCAGTAGCCTCCAGTTCCTGGACCTAAGCGCTAATAAATTGTCCTCTCTACCATCGTGCCAGACGGCCCACCTGCCAAACCTGAAGTGGCTGTCGCTGGCCGGAAACCCCATCACTGAACTCCAGCCTCTGGCTTTCTCCTGTTATCCACAGCTACAGTTCCTGAACTTGTCTGCCACTCTGCTAGGGCATGAGAGTGGCGGAGGGATTAGCGCATCAGCCTTTGCCATGAACGTGTTGCAGGGAGACACCGGGAACAGAGCGAGGAGCACCATTGATGTGCTTGACCTGAGTGGGACCTTTCTCGAGAAAAGTAAGTTTGAAGATTTTTGTGGTACACATGGGGCCTGATCAAACCTGATGAAGCGAAACCACTGTTAGTGTCACAGCCACCAGCAGTAGAACTGGGGACCTCCGGAGCTGCTGGCAGGAGCTGCAACAGCTTGAGGTAAAGGTCACTAGCTGGGGCTGTAACAGACGCATATCCTCCACGGATCAGGCACAGCGGAGGAAGCTCTAAAACACACCCACCAGTTGGTTACAATAAGCAGTGGTGGGAATTCTCTTGTGTAGACAAGACTTCAGAGGGGAAGGTGGAGAAATAGCTATTAGCACAAGTCAAGCAACTACACCTGCCCACAACAGAATTTCTCATCTGTCCTCATAATCCCTCTATCCCCATCCACTATCCTCTCCGATTATCCAGCTCTCAGCCTTGGGCTATCTTTAACTTCTGCCTTTCCTCCTCTTTTCCTATCCAGTCTTCCCAAAGCCCTTCTCCTGTTCTTCAGTGGCATATCCTATCCTATCCTATCTCCTAGAACTGGAAGGGACCTTGAAAGGTCATCGAGTCCAGCCCCCTGCCTTCACTAGCAGGACCAAGTACTGATTTTACCCCAGATCCCTAAGTGGCCCCCTCAAGGATTGAACTCACAACCCTGGGTTTAGCAGGCCAATGCTCAAACCACTGAACATCTGCCTTTCCTTTCTCCCCCGTCCCCCGCAGCTAAACCCTGCCTAATCCCTTCGCTTTCTCCTCTTATTTTTGGCACAGCCCAGAGAGGCTTCCACCAAGACCAGGATCTCGTTGTGTTATTGGAATTATCAATCCACAGAGCAAGAGGCAAGCCCCGCCCCAAAGAGCTTACAGTCCAAATAGACAAGATAGGACCATGGGAGGATGATCATCCCCATTGTATAAATGGGGGAGCTGAGTCACAGAGAGGCAGTGACTCAGTCTGTGGCAAAGCCCAGACTGCACCCCAATCTCCTCAGTCTAGTCCCTTAGCCGCAAGACCATCCCTCCTCTCTCTGACAGTCTGTCCCCTCTCTCTCTCCCTCCCTCTCCCTCCTGGGCTCCTGTAACATTTCATCCAGTCAAATGGGTACAATAATTCCGACCTGGTGAGGTTCAGTGAATGGATAATTGCTCAAATCCTTTGAGCAAGACAAAGGAAAGTAGCTGTGGATGTGTAAAGGGGGACTATAAACCTGCTGTTCTCATACAGCCCAATCCAGGGATTCCCTAGCAGAGGTTCCAGCCCAGTCACTAATCAGTCCAGCACTCTGCGCTGCGTGAGGGCGCTTTGCCTTACACGTGTGCTGCTAAACCGCTGGGGAAATAACTAAAGCCCTGGGAAATTCTTCTATTTTTTTTTTATAATTTTTCATGTTACTTTTTGGGAATTTCACATTAGTTTGATTTATCCATTTTATCCATGCGGGGTGGGGGGGGAGGGAGAGGTCCTGCCCTCAGGAGCTGAGAGGACCTTGGGGGTTGGAGTCCACCCAGTACTCACCACACAGCAACAGCTTCTGTGCCCCGGGGCTGGGCTCAGCTCTTCACTCTGGGCATCGTGACCTGGTACCCGGGTCACAGCGCTATTCAGTTTTGGCCCAGCTGTCCCCCATCATGACAGAAGGCAGCCAGGCCACACCTGAGCAGCACTGTGACCATGTGTGCTGGGTTGCAATACCCGGAGCAGGGAGCCAGGCCCAGCCCCCCCAGGAGCCGCCGCTGCAGGGTGAGTGTTTTGTTTTATTTCGTGTTATTTTGCATTTGCTATAACCAGCAGGTGCATCAGTTTGTCAGTAAAACTCAATCCACTGCAGTCTGCTTACTGGCCAGTCCTAAATCCAGCACAGTGCTCTGCTCACATACCAGTCACCCGGGTCTTCTCTGCTTCAGTTCAGCAGGAGTGGGCCCAGGACTTGGTCAGCCTTAGGTCGCTCCACCTTGCAAGGATGGCCCAGCTGAGGAGCTTCGATACGGATCTATTCAAGTCACTGCCCAGACTGAGAGAACTGAATTGCCAGGACTCCCGTGCGCTGAGCGGGGTGAGGACGGAGCTATTTGACGATGCTCCTCACCTGACCTTTCTCACCTTCCAGAAGTAGGTGTTTTCTTTGCTCACCCGTGTGTTAAAATGCCGCTGTCTGCTGAAAGTGTCTAGTGACAGCTGGGTCCCCTCACTGCCCCCATAATGCCCCTGGAGTCATCCGAATAGGAAGGTCTTTAGTGCATGGGGGAGATGCCATTTCAATTCACATGGAATTCTTGCACAGCAGAACTAGGATTTCCCAGGCTGTGTGCCAGAGTCTCTTCCCTGCTCCAGCTGGTGCAAAGATGCCAGCAAGATGGCAGATCTCTCCATTGTTGGGGAGAGTTCCCCTATAGCAGGAAGCTGCATAGCTGGCTCCTATGCTACTCGTCCTGCAGCCTTTAGCAGAGAGGGCACGCCGGGCACCTGTTAGAGAGGTGTGGCTGGAGTACACTGCACTCTGGAGATCTCTGGCTGGCAGAGAGGGCCATAGTCAGCTGTGCAGACTAGCGCAGCCATGAAGTTGCTCTAAACTTCACCAGCGCTGTCCTAGAACTGTCCCCAGAATCAGAGACACGACTGACTTCTTCACAAGCTCCCAGCCTTGCTGCGCCAGTGGATACTGGGAGTAGCAGAGAATCTGGCCCCATGGGCCAAACTCACGTTATGATGCAGAAACTGCCTGAAGCTGCCTTAATGAGGCCTCCTGAGCCTGGTGCAGTTGTTGGCACCTGTCGGTGTGCGGCTCTTTCTGTACAGCTTCCTTTCCTGGGCAGACGGGTGACTTAGAACAGTCTGTTTCACTGAACTCAAAAGGCCACAATTCCCTCTCAGCTGCACTGACTTCAGCGGAGATGCAGGAATGGAACTGAGAATCTGGTCCAAAGTATTAATGACCCTGCAGCTTAATCACACCTGGGTTGTGGAAAACCCAATGCCCCCCCATTCCCTTGCCTTTGGAGTATTTAGCCTCAACCAGGCCTACGTGCACTCAGCAGATGTTATAAGGCTGATGGACTGGAGATTTATGGAGCGAAATCCCCTGCTAGTGTAAACTGGCATAGCTCCATTGACTTGATGATTTCCAAGTTTGTGAGAATGGGCTTGTCTGCATTGTGGGCTAAATTGGCGCTGCTGTGATCGATGCCGCGGCTGTCGATTTAGCGGGTCTGGTGAAGACGCGATAAGTCAATGGGAGAATGCTCTTCCGTCAGCTTCAGTACTCCACCTCCCCAAGAAGCGGAAGGTAAGTCGGCAGGAGAGTGTCTCCTGTCGACATAGCGCAGTGTAGACACCGCTGTAAGTCGATCTAAGCTACGTCGACTTAAGTTACGTATCTTACATAATTTAACTAGCGTAACTTCGATCGATTTACCTTGTCAGTGTAGACCAGGCCTAAGTAATTCTACTGGGTAGACCCTAGGAAGAGAGATGGGAACAATAAGTGAGACATGCTCAAACCAGGAACTTGAAATATCTACGTAGGCCTGGTCTACACTGGGGGGGATCGATCTAAGTTACGCAACTTCAGCTATGTGAATAACGTAGCTGAAGTTGACGTACTTAGATCGACTTACCGTGGTGTCTTCACCGTGGTGAGTCGACTGCTGCCGCTCCCCCGTCAACTCTGCCTGCGCCTTTTGCAGCAGTGGAGTACAGGAGTCAACGGGAGAGCATTTGGGGGTTGATTTATCGTGTCTAGACTAGACGCGATAAATCGACCCCCGCTGGATCGATCACTGCCCGCCGATCCAGCAAGCTCTTTGCGGCAGGGACCCTCTTTTTGGTCTGTATGTGTACGATGCCTAGCACAATGGGGGCCTAGTCTACAACTGGGACTCTTACGCATTACAGTCATACAAATAATAAATGATAATAAATACCTGCCTACAGAATTCACTGACTGCAAAGACTAAAACAGGAGGATTAACGTACCTGGGAAAGGGGACTGTCGAGACCGGAATGGAAATGAAAGGTTTGGATGACATAAGCAAACGTAGTTTGGATAGGAGATTCGAGTCAGCGGACCGGGATAAGGAGGGTTGACTAACTGCTGTCATGCTGGAGCTCTGGCAGCTTCTCTCTGCAATGAATGGTGGAGAAGGGAAACACAATGTTACACCCTTAGCTTTCTTAAGAAGATTTAATTAAAATAATGAAGATTAATTGTTAAACTCTGGAGTCAGGGCAGACAGGTGCGAAAGGCAAGTGGGGAGGGGGAGCTGGCTCAAAGAAGAGAGAAAGCTGTGGAATGTGATAGTAACATGTGACACTGCATAAAGCTAAGAGCAGGGTCCCCCCCAAGGGGCAGCTTGGAGCCACTTTGTGTATCCTCTAGATCAGTATCCAAAATTCTCATGCCAGGCATTCGTGCAATAGCAAATAGCGAGGAAAACTGCAGTGGGACATGGGATGTTTTAGGGAGAGGGAGAAAGGGAAAGTATTTTCATCATAAGTTACATCTTCAGTGCACCTTGCAGATGTACCTAACTAACCCTCTCATCATCCCTGTGCTACAGGGAAGTATCATTAGCACCATTAGCTGGGGAGACTGAAGCATATTGGGGCAAATTCTGCAGTCCTTAAGTCCCATTGATTTCAAGTGACTTCTGCCTTGCCAACCACATGCCTTCAAAAATCATGAGCTGGGCCCTCCAAAATCAGGAGATTGGCTTAACAATCATGAGATTGCTTTAAAAAACAATAGATGTGTGGGGGGAGGGTGTCTTTTGCTTTGCCTTCTGTTTTTTGAGCTTTTGGGATTCAATTCGGGTCATGTTTTCACGTGTTTTTTCTGCAATCACAGGGGTGAAAAACTCCTGGGGCTGGGGTTTGAGGTAAGAAACGCCAAATACTGCGAGACTCATGATAAAATTCATGAGAGTTGGCAATGCTGGAGTTTGGCCAAAGTCAACACCGGGTCACTAGCAGAAGCCGTTGGCTCTTGTGTCTACTCCCATAATCCACTAGACTATGCTAGTCTGTACCTCACTGCTGGTGTCCATTGTAACCTGTGTTGCAACAGAACCTCATACCAATCTCTTAAAGTACCAATATTCCATCGGAATAGCAGCAGTGCTTCATTTATGGATGGTGTTAGGGTGACCCGATGTCACGATTTTATAGGGACAGTCCCAATTTTGGGGTCTTTTTTTTTTATAGGCTTCTATTACCCCCCCACACCTCCCGATTTTTCACACTTGCTATCTGGTCACCCTGATGGTGTACAGGTATCTGTACTGTTTATTTAAACTTCCATCAGAAAGCCAGGCAGGAGGAGTTCTAGGTAGAAACTGCATTGCAGCAGAGAGAGACAGTAGTTATTGCTTCTTGGAGAGTTTCTTGTTCCATGTTAGGAGAAAGCAACTTGGTGATTCTTTACAGGGAAGGGTGCAGCGCTAAGGATGTATTTTGCATCACATACCATGGGTTACACAGTTCTGAAGTAGTTAATGTAGACAAAGATATAACATGAACAGTGACGGCAATGTACCAGAATAGCAAGTATATTGTAAATAGAGCAGTCAGGGCTGATTAGGAAAGGATTTAGAGGATATTGTGGAAAATCCTTTAAGCCACCAGCCAGGAATACGAATGCAGCAGAAAATGAAAAAAACAGGGCACTGGATGCGTGAACAGAGAACTGAACACAAGTCTAAGTGGTAGTGAACAAAGAAAAGATCAGACTCTGCTCTCAACTATACTGCTGGATTTTGGTACAGAATTCACCCAGTGCTTGTACAGAAGATGGGCAAAGAAGGCCTCCCTATTCACAGAGCTTAGGTCTAACTCAGAAGGAAAAAGCACAAGACAATTCAGGCACAATAAGTTGCAGAGACAACAGCAATGTTGCTATCCCCAAGTGTTCAAAGCTCAGGAATAATGCTTAAAAATCATAGAGTGGCTTAAAATCCTGAGATTTTTAAAACAACAATAAATGTGGGGTGCTTTTTCTTTGCCTTCTGGTTTCTGACCCTGTCATGTGCACTCAGGTCACATTTTTAAGCTTTTCTCTGAAACTATGAGGGCTCAAAACTTACCTTTATTTTTATTTATTTTTTTAAATGAATGCTGAGATTCTCAAATTGTTCCCTGGACTCCAGGAAGTGGAGCTTTCAGAAAAACATCCAATACGTTGGTAACACTGTACCAATGAATACAGCCCTGCACGGATACAAAATGTGTATCCACATCTGATCCGCGATTTGCAAACATGGTCCGTGGATATAAAGTGGACATCTGCAGATTTGCAGGGCTCTATAAATGAGTCAACGTAAGGTGGATGCTTGGCATGCAGAAACTGAAGCTATTCCAAACATGGCATGAAGGGGTTGAAAGGAGGCTGGAGAGTGAATTGGGAGCACCATAGGGCAGGAGAATAGGTGTAGGATGAAGTGAAAGCCAAGATAAATACAAGGGTTCAGGGATAAGACAAAACTTTACCAAAGCAGAGTTGCTAGGTACAGGGTTCTTTTCCTTTCCGGCTGCCATTCCTACTGCATTCTGGGAATGCCTTTAACATAAGTTTGCTGCAGAGAATGAATCTAAATTGGGGTGAATGTGATGATGCGTGAGGGAGATACGTGAGCAAATGGGGTAATATGTGAGAATGAACTTGGTTTTCCTGAGGGGGGATTAGTAATCTGCTACGAGCCAGGAACAAATTACTGCCTCCCCAGGGAGCAGAGAAGGCTGCATGCCACCCCTTACACAGACTAGGCTATTAAAGCACAATCCAGTCCTGGGGCCTTAGCCGATACTTGCTAAAGATTCTCAAAATTTTCATCTCCTAGCTGTAACCTGAGTTCCTTTAATCCTTGGAATATCAACTCATCAGGTAGCATCAGCATCAACCTGTATGGAAATCCTTTAGAGTGCAACTGTGGACTTTCCTGGCTCCTTTCTGATCCGGAGAGAGTTGTACTGCAAAGGTAAATGACCTGTCAGCTGCATATTACTCACACACCAGGAATGTAGGAGTGAGCATAAAGATTATCCTGAGCCTGTTTACTTCAATTTTTGCTACAAGTTATGCATGGATGGTGTAGTTTTCCTGTTGAAATACAAACCCCATCAAAATTAGTCAGAATCGCCATCTGTTCCTCAAAGGTCAGACATCTAAAATAAAGTTTCCTTCAAGAACTAAGTATGGGCTAATTATATTTGAAAGCAGCACTATGCTGGTAACACAAGCAGAACTATAAAATGATGGCATCTACTGATAATTTATTCTCTGCCTCCCCCCATTAGTACTTTACTGTGAGTACAGATGAAACGTTAGCTAGCTCAGAGGCCTTAATGACATTGTGCCCTGGAGATCTGCAGTCAAATTGTGAGCTCTGATTCCTGAGCCAGTTGGGGCTAAGAATACTGTGGAAGTAACTACACCTCACTCTACACTGCCCCCTGCTGTCAGATTTGGAGAGGCATTACTCAACATGGCCTTGGCGCTTAATGCTTTGTGTGGTATGCCTTCAACTTCCATGGCACCTTGTTGAATCAGACCCGTGGCCTTCCCAGTTAGGGGATATTTGCTGCCCCTTGCAAAACATGTTGGTAATATGGTGAGGAAAATCAGCCTGAAAATCAGCCTGTAGTCAAGACTCTGCTGGGCTTTGGCCCCAGATTTCATGTGCGAGAACAGGTTTCTGATTGGCATTAGCAGTTCACTATCTGATACGTTTCATAGATGCTGATGGCACCGTCCTATAACTGTTAGGTCGATTCTAACTCGTTTGCTTCATCCTGCAGGGCATCCGACACAATTTGCAACACAGCCTCAGAAGACAGAGAGAAGCCTTCATCCTCATCGTCTCTTTCGTTGTTACAACTCTATGATGAATGCCAGGCCAAGAGAAACACCACGTTCCCCACATCAAACACTCCCCCTCTCACAGAAGACTCTTCCAGCCTTCCCATTATTGATTCCACTACTGCGGCAGCAACAATGGACTCTACTCTATTTGCCGAAGAACATTACAGCGACTCCTTGGTGTCACGAAACATGATAAGTATGACGCAAACAGCTCAGGTGAAGAATGATCCCACAAGTGCAGATGTTTTTTCCAAATCTACTACCTATCCCACTACTGAAGGAACCACAGCCACCTCTTCAACATTTCTGGGAGAGCTTTATAGCGACTCCTTAACTCAACAAAGCACTGCGAGTACAATCAAAACAGATCCATTGAAGAGAAATGCTACAATGACCACTGCTCTGTTTCCCCAAGAGGAAACATTCTACCAGTCTACTAATAACCCTTCCACTGAAGCGACAGGACCAATAGGGACAAACTCTCCTCTTTTTCCTGGCACAGTAAGTCCATCTCAGACAGATCAACGGCCACAAAACCCCACAAAGGCAAACCCTATTCCAAATCCTACCCATGCTGTAATACACGTGGATTATGAAGATGACTATTATGATGATCAACCAAAGGAAAGCATAACTCAACCCATAATAGTCTCTTGTGACTACGACCCCTGCCACCACCTCCAGAAGCCATGCTCTGAACTTCAGAGGTTGTCCCCATGTCTGTGTCCTGGTGTGTCTGGAGAAGACACTGTTCCAGATCCACCGAGGCTCAGAGAAGTGTCTGAAACGACAGACACATCAGCACAGATCCACTGGTGTGCCCCCAGTTCAGTCGTTCATACTTATCAGCTTGCATACCATGCCAAAGGCAGCGAGAAGAGCCTGGTTGATGAGATCTATCCCACAGCAAGGCAGCATACACTATACAAACTTTCACCAGACACCACCTATTGGGTGTGCGTGATTGCTTCTAACAAAGCAGGATCGAGCCAGACGACGAGTGAGAAGATTTTGGGCAATCCATGCACCCAGTTTACAACAAAGCCCAGCTATATAGCCATCTTTGTGGTCTTGTGCCTAGCAAGTGGGGTCTTCCTAATCACCACCATGGTATTGTCTGTGTGTCTGTATCAGAAATGTAAAAAGCCTCACGCTGAGCAATACGGCACACACCTCATCTCTTATAAAAACCCAGCATTTGATTACCCCTTAAAACTGCAGCCATGTAATTAGCCCCAGGTAGTTTTGTCAACATATTTTGCAGTAAAACATCTTATAGCAACACATCTAAGTGGAATCCAGCTGCTCACTTGGTTATGAGTTCCTCACAGGGCTGACTTCATCTCTGTTGTAATTTCAAAGAAATTACACTGGGGACAGCTGTGGCTTCGAATGCTTTGTTTTGTTACAACAGGACACCACCTGGCCTGTTTCTGAGATCTCTATTTTCCATTTCCAAAGATTTGTGTTTGGGGTGAAGTTTCTCTTTTTATTATAATTATTTTCTGGCAGCTGATCGGGAGGTCCCAATGATGATGATTTAAAAATGAAGTGAGGAGGGATACGGGTGGCACAACCTTATATGGAAGGAGGAAGAGACATAGTCCTGACGTTCCTTGGCTATAGTACTTCTCTAAACTAATCTAAGGTGATGTTGAAGCACCCAGAAGAAAAGCCCTGATAGAAATAATCCCTAGCATATGTATAGTGCCTTTCAGCTGTAGATATCAGTGTTTTACAAAGGTGCAAGGGTTTATAGATTTTAAAATCGGAAGGGACTAGTGTGATCATCTAATCAAACCTCCTACAAAACAGTGACCATAGAATTTTGTCCTGTGAGTCCTGCGACAAGCCCCTAATTTCTGGTTGGTAAAATATCTGTCATATCACTATACCCCTTGTACAGATGGGGAAATTTCCAAGAGGAATGGCTAGATATTTTTTTTAAAAGGTCTTTAGGTGCCTAAAGGTGCCAATAGCTTTTGAAAATCCCTGTAGGCCCCTCTCTGCATCATTAAGCACTTAAAGACCTTTTAAAAAGCTGGCTCAAAGTCCACAGCCCTATTTAGGTGGCTAAATAGCAATGTCCTCTTTATCAAAAATGCTGTGCACACACAAACCCACTTGCCCCTTTGAAAATCAGGCTACCCTATTTAGGAGCCTCGCTATGGATTTAAGAGCCTGACATTAGGCACCCAGCACTGGAAATATGGACGTTTGGGCTTTTGTTTAAATACCTACTCATCCCCAAACACTTTTCTTGAAAGTGTTACCATCCTGCCTTATTAGTGCATGTCCCTGGGACTAGGTCTACATCACAGCTGGCTGGTGCAACAGGGACTCGGTTGGGATTGTACTCGGATAACTAGACTGAGCCACGCTGCCATGGCCACACTGTTGTTATTAAGTATCAGAGGGGTAGCCGTGTTAGTCTGGATCTGTAAAAAGCAACAGAGTCCTGGGGCACCTTTAAGACTAACCGATGTATTGGAGCATAAGCTTTCGTGGGTGAATGCCTACGATGCAGCCGACGAAGTGGGCATTCACCCACGAAAGCTTATGCTCCAATACACCGGTTAGTCTTAAAGGTGCCACAGGACCCTCTGTTGCTTTTTACTGTTATTAGGCACTAGCAGAGTACTCTTGTGTACATTTACCTGAAGTGAGAATTACAGCTGCTGCTGTGTAGCTGTACATTGAGCCTCCTCATGTGTCTTCCAGCAAATGATTGAAAATGAAGGATGGGAACGGTCTTGGGGTCCTCCATTGAGAGGGGCCGCACACCCACGATGCCAGCCGACCTCAGTGGGAATGGCAAATGGGCAGCACCCGCCACTTAAGAACAAGACATGAAGATTTAATGAATAAAAACAAGTATATTATAAGCTCCTGGGGGCAGGGACAGTCTTTCCGTTCCATGTTTGTACAGCGCCTAGCACAGCGGGGGGTTCTGGCCCATGACTGGGGCTCCGAGGTGCTATTACAATACAAATAATAGAATGTTGTGTGGAGTCTCCAAAATGAAAGTAAATGGCTATAATTATAATGTGGGTCACAATCATTCCCCCATCAAAAGAATGAAACAAGTGAGTTAGCACCATGATAAATGATCAAAGCCTTAGATTGATCTGCAAAGGTAGTAGAATAGTGATAGTGAGGTTGACTGGACCTGTCATTATTATACTGAGGTAGATAACTGAGTATCAGTGCAACCTGGTAAGGGTTGAAATAAATCCTGTCCACTCCAGTGGACATTTAGGATATGATTTTCCAAGATGCCTAAGAGATCTGGATTCCAATTTATTTAATTTAAATAGGAATTGGGCATCCAAATCTCTTAAGCAGCTTTGAAAATCTCAGCCTTAAATCACCCAAGGCCCTGTTCATAAGAGAGTGGAGTTATCCCGCTGTCTTGATCAAATATTTCTCTCCCTGCTTGTTGTTCAGGATTGCAGGTGTTCATTAGCAACAGCCCTTTATCCTTTAGAGGTGGCTACATATCAGAGTTGCTGTATGAATGTGATCGGTGAAGCCCTTTGGGATCCTTGCAGATGAAAGGTATTTGTGTTGTGATGGTTATTTTTACCATGGTAAAAATAGCACATGCCCTGTACTAATGGAAATAAAAAAATGCAGCATGATAATGAAATAACCCCAGTCTTGTTCTTGTTTTAAAGGCAACAGACAAGTGTACAATAACAAGGTCAGGACTTTTTTGCCTGTTTGATCGGAGTGAAATCTGGAATCTCTTTCCACAGTAGTTTTGGAGCATACAATAAAGTATCATTTTTATTGTGGTATACTAGCATGTACTCTGATGGCAAGATTGTTGGGTTTTCATTCTGTTTCACAAGCATTAACATATTTACTAGTGCCTGCTATCACTTTGAGTCCCAATTTTTTCCCTCCTACTCCATGCCAGCTGCAGTTAATGTTTGGCACCATCTTTTGATAACTACCTTATGCCTTAGAGAATACCTTTTATACCACTCTGAGTCACTGAGGTCAGTTATCCTCACTAACTTTCCATAAACCAAACCTATATTAAAGGTGACTTGCAAACCGAAAAATAGACGCAAAAGAGCACAATCCCTATGATATAGAAAGGAAGCATGAACCATTATTTTAATTTTTTCAGGCATTGGCAAAATGGAAACATTATTTAAAAACCTGCAAATTAAGTTTCCTACTATCTTTAATGTTTAATTTTTTTTTAAAGCTGTTACACACCTATAAAGAACTGTTAATTAGTCTGACTTTGGCTCTACTTGTTCCAGCAACATGCAGCGTTAAGACCTAAATAACTACACCTCTACCTCGCTATAACGCTGTCCTCGGGAGCCAAAAAATCTTACCACATTATAGGTGAAACCACGTTATATTGAGCTTGCTTTGATTCACCGGAGTGCGCAGTCCCGCCCTCCCAGAGCACTGCTTTACTGCATTATATCCGAATTAGTGTTATATTGGGTCACGTTATATCGAGGTAGCAGTGTATGTGTCTGCAGGGAGAGTCTAAACTATTTCCCCCGTCAATCCAATCTCATGTGAAAAAAACAAACCAAGGCAGCATTAAATTGTTTCTCAACACCATGCAATGTGGAAATGCAGCCAATAACCGTGCCACTCTGGGGGGTCACTACTTGTTCAAAGACTCTTCACTTGCAGAATGGACCAAGAAGGACAGCTTTCATCCTGACAAATACAGCCATTTGAACTCAGTTGCTTTTCAGATGTATGCCCCAAGGTGATTATTTTTGCACAACAAAGAGCTGGGATGCGGAGTCCATGACCGTTCTCATGGGTAAGGTGGAGTATCATTTCTGTACCTTAGCTATATTTTATTAGAAGCAGTTAATATCCAGAATAAACCAGTAAGGACAGAAGGAGCAACTAATGTACATGCTAGAAACAGCCAACAGCTCTGCACTGTTTAACAACTTCATTTAATACAAATACCTTGGAGACAACTCCAAATACTGTACAATAAGCTAAATACAAAGACAAATCATGAAACGGTGTAGCCATTGTATTCATAAATGTGCTGAGGCACCTGCATGCTGACATGATCCTTCATTAGCCTCAACATTTTGCCATTCCCCACCAGAACATCATATTCAAGTGTACCTCACTATACTTGAGATGGTGGTAATGAACAAAAAAAAGGAATGACCTGAATGGACTTTGTCATCTCTCCATTTTAAAATTGTGTTGCTGAAGAAATACAATACTCCCAATTAACCAAACGTGCACATTAAGAAGAAACATTTTATAGGATCTGCTTTACATTTATCCTTCCGTTGCAAATAAGACAGAGTTGGACTGCTGGATATGGTGATAGCTAAGAGACAGGTATTGAATAAAAATTAAACGTTGTCTGTGAACCATTTCTATACAAGTTAAAAGATAAAAAATTTAAATGTTTTATATACTCACCTACAACCACACCCCCTCAAAATCAGTATGTAGCTACAATAAATTCACTTTTGGTGATAGAGCACCATAGTCCAACATATATTACCTATTTTCAGTTACTTTACCTCTTCACACCTCAGTTCTTTGCTACTACATGCAAAACATACATCTGGTTCCAAGGTATTTAATAAGAAGATTTCATTACTGTTAATATGAAATCTCTTGTCCGATACTTTTTGTAGCTATCAGAGTATAAGCAAGGAACGGGCATTTAAGTCTGTAACTTTAAATAGTGTTGCTCTATTCTTTGATCACAGGTAGTAAATTGAGATCATAGCAACACCTGATAAACAACGCAGTCAGAGATATAGGAGAATCACGCACAGAATATGCCGCTTTAACAGTTTCTAATGAATCCAGTGATTTGGACAAGCATTTAAAATGCCTTGATTTTTCTCATTTCTATTTACGTTGATATTTCTGCTCCAAGAAGATCTCAAACTGACCAAGCAGTTTTAAAATAGCCAGCATAGTTCACACAGGAAGTTCAGTATCTTGGTTTCTCAACCACTATCAACTAGCAGTACTAGAAACATGCTTCTATTTCAGAACTCAATTTATCTACGTCTGTGACACTACACCATGAGCCCTAATGTCACTAGAACCTTCTCTCTGGGGACAGATAGTTACCTTGGTATTTTTACTGAAGAAGAGAATAACTCTGAAATACTGTATGGACTATTATTCATATCACAAGGAGGATTTAAAAACTTGGGGCGAAAAAAAAGGATCACTTTACGTTTCTGAAGGTATCATTCCCTAGTGATTTAATGCTTTCCTTTGCAGCAAACTATAATATTTAGTAAATTCTAATAAGTGATTCTGTCTGGAGACAGTATACAACAGTTTGTCTTTATAACTCCATGCATACCGGATCTGAGAAGAAAAGGGAGCTTCGTCAGCACGCTATTAGAACCTAATATACTGTTCAATTCTGTGGGAAGTGTGCAAACTTTAGCTTCTGAAAAGCAATATAAAAAGAGATACAAGATTCAAAATGCAGGACAGCCACTGGTGACTTAAAAGTGCCTAAGAACATTGTGATTTTTCTTAACAATTATATTTTTATTTATAACTTTCAAAAATACATTGAAAATTCAATACATTTACAGTACATGATCAGACTTCATTTTTACTTCATATCAGTCCAATTGTGATGACATGGTTTGAATTGAAACAACTGTCCTAAAGAAAAAAAGAGTTCTTATTCATAGGCCAGTTATATTGTCCTTTGCAATATAGAAAACAGTGATGTCAGGAGACGGTCCTTTCTGTAACATTTCATTTGTTGTTTATTACCTGGACTGTTTTCCGACCATAATGATAATAACTGTATGCAGACGCTGCTGTTGTGAAAGCTGTAATACACCTTTGGGGGGAAAATGGTTAATATAAATTAGTTTCTTTGTGCTTAAATATTTGAATAATGCCCCAAGCTGTATTTTAAATGGTTTCCCTATTCTTTGCTACAATCTGAGAGTGTATATTATGGGACAGCCTATGCTAGCCACAGAGACTGAGGTCAAAGATTGAAGAAAGTGTGATTAAGGAAATTCTCACCCGCCCCTTCTCATTTTAATGACTAACTTTGATTGTAAACAACAAATCTCATATTCAAAACTAAACCTCACTGCAAAGCAAAGCGTATTCACATAAGCAAACTTCATTGTTCAGTAGTCTGCTTCACCACAGACTTCATCATGTACTGGGCTGAATTTTTAATCCAGTTATACTTGCAACAGAAAAGTGGGGGACGAATCTGGCTCAGTGTATCTGCAGTGTTAACCAACTTGAGAACTGGCTGACACTGAAAGACTATTCCCAGACCAAATGGATTACTTCCAAGGGTTTCTTGTTTGTTTGTTTTTAAAAATATATGCATGACAACTGCTACCAAAACCACCCGCCCAAACTAAAAATCAAGATCATAATTCTTGCTTGCTACATCTTAAAATATACATAATGCTACTGTTTCAAACAATTGCACTTCGATGATGGCTACACAAGCCATAGTCAAATCTCTATTCTAAAACTAGTATAATCTAATCTGTTTTTATAGTTAACTCTTGTGAGACCTTTTAAAAATTCTGGTAAGTTATATCTACCAGTTCTTCTTTATTCACTATTCTGTTAACTTTTAAAGAATCCTAATATGTGAGAGCAAAAATGCCTTTTACAGAAGCTATCCCAGTTTGCTTCCATATAGTATCAGCTTTTAATAAGTATATTTTTCAACATATTTACTTGGTTATTGAAATAAAGGTCACTAATTCCTCAGAACCTTTTAAAAAAATAGGTATACTGGATCCACCAGTTCTTTAGTATAGTTTCTAACTAATAGTAGATTGTGTATTTCTATTAACTGCTCAGCCACTTCATTCTTATAGTAAGTTCCTTTAGAATTCATGGACAAATACCATCTAGTCTGATCACTTGTCGCAATTTAAATTATCTTTTCTTCTAAGCATCCTAAATTGACAGTGTCTCACCTTTATACCTGAAAATAGCTGTGAGAGACTTGGGCAATTTCCTGCAATATCTTTGGGAGATCTTGCTATATTAAGTTTATGTATCGTGAGTCAGGGACTGTATATAAGTTCACAGGGAAGGGAAACCACAGCTCTTCTGGGAACGAAGAACAGTAGGGGTGATTAGGCAAATTCACTCAGGTTGTAACACCTCCCGAGAAGTACCACACCACCTAGAAAGGCTCATATATACTAGTTCAAACTGGATTCACCAGAGACCAACTGACAAAAAAAGGACTCCAAGGGGACTCCCAATTCTTCCTGGGAAAGATTGAAAGGACTTTGGCCTACTGAGGCCCTATAAGATTGATAAGTAATTTATGGTGAGCTTTTCGCATTATCATAGTTTTTTTTTGTTTTCTCTGTAATGCTTTCACCTTAGGAATAAATGTGCTTGCTTCTAAAGAGCTGTGTGGTAACTTGTAACTGCTGGCAATTATACTGTTCATAAACCTTCAGAGAGCAAGCAAAGCACAGACACTGGTGTGTTTAGTCAATCTGGCTTGCTGGTAATATCACAGTATAGCTAGGGAACTTTGCAGCCTGGAAAAACATGAGGGTCTCTGCCAAAAAGAAGTGACTGCTGAGGAGCTAGGAGCCTAGAGGGGGTGCCCTTGAGGGCCCATGCAGGGAAAATACAGGTGCAGTTGCCCTGAACTGTGACAACAGCTATGCCAGGAAAGACTGATGGAAATAAACCATTGTGTTCTTTTTCTCATAGATTGCACCTATACTCCCTGGTAACCTAGTAGACATCACTGACTCCCTCAAGCATCTTATTTCAGAGATATTTAAAGAATATCTTTTTTTAAAGTTATTTGCTCTTCAAATTGGTTAATTTCTAGTTTGTTTTACCTGCCATAGTTTATCCATTTCTACTGGCATCACTTGTGCTACAATTTTAGCAATGAAACCTTTTAATTGGAAAAAATGCCAAAACTTTCCATTTAACAATATCAGATTTTTCCTGACCTTTCCACATTTAAGTATGTATTTTAATTTAGGGATGTGCATACCTTCATGCTGATTTGGAAGACTTTAGTTTCTTAACTTTTCATCCTTGGGTTTTGATTGGCTTCCTCATGTGTTTAGCTATTTCTCTCATAACAAATAAAGCACTGATATATTGCTTGGTTCTGTTTCAGCCAAAAAGAAAATGTCATCTGGAAGAGTTCAACCATACAAGTCTGTAACCTAATTTAGGCTTACTGAGGCAGACCCTTCCGTTCCACGAATTTAACTTTTTAATTCAATCGGAATTGTTAGTTTCTTTACAAGTACATTACAGATATCACAAAAAATAAAAATGTAACTTACCATAAAGTCTGTAGATATATGCTATCTACGTAATCGAAAACAGGAGCCGCTAAAGAAGCTGCCACCAAGATTAGCTGAACTGCTGTGTTCATCTGGTAAAAATTAAATATAAGTTGTGGCTGTACTGAAACAGAACTTTACCACACTCAGGTCCTACACGTTACTTAAGAGGTTATTGATAACCTTAGCCAATATATGGAAAACCAGGCAAAATACAAGTTTTGAGATATAGCTGCTGAACGTTTGCTTTGTTAATCAGACAACTTATGTGCTTATAATTAAACATGTGCTTTGCTGGATCACACCCAGAGTACTCAGGACTTTGTGGAAAAAAGCCCAATATAAGAATGTGTCAGTATTAAGTTAGGGTTACCATATTTCCACAATCAAAAAAGAGTACAGGGGGTAGAAGCCCCGCTCTAGCCCCGCCCCACCCCCATCCACTCCCTCCCACTTCCCACCCCGACTGCCCCCCTCAGAACCCCCAACCCCACCCCCTGCTCCTCGTCCCCTGACTGCCCCCTCCTGGGACCCCTGCCACT